ATTTAGTATTTTTTTTTTTAGAATAAGTCCCTTGTTATGAAATGGATTTGAAAAAAAGGCTCCTACTCAATTATCCCCAGTTGTATACCTTGTATTTCTTATAATTGGTGAAATAGGAAGGTTGGTAGTATTTTTGTCATAGTAAAATTTTACAGGAGTAAAATTTAGCAGGAGAAAGGAGATAAAAGCCAGGAACCCAGACAGAAGAGCAGTCAGCCCCAGGGTTACAGGTGAGGAGAGACAACTCAGGGATGCCCAAAAGTAGCAGGCGGGAAGAGCAGGAGAAAGGGGATTAAAAGACAGGAAGCCAGAGAGAAGAGCAATCAGCTGAAGGAATTAGGTGAGGAGAGGAAACTCAGGCCTGCCTTGTAAGAAGGGATCATTCCCTGGAGAAGGATGTCATGCTTGGTAGGGTGGAGGGTTGACGAAAGAGGGGGAGGACTTCAACGAGATGGATTGACACGGTGGCTGTGATGATCGGTTCAAGTATAGCAGGGATTGTGGGGCTGGCGCAGGATCGGGCAGTGTTGTGTTGTGCATGGGGTCGCTATGAGTCGGAAATGACTCGACGGCACTTAACAACAAAATTTTATAATATGTTATATAAAATCTAACTTGCAAAATTTTAAAGTTAGAATTAAAAGTAAGAAAATGCTTATATTATGAGATACTTTTAAAGATCACTGAGTTTATTATTTGACCTTTCAAGTCAAGTCAGGGTACTGAAATACTTATCCAAAAATAAAATCAGTGGCTTATAACTTACTACTTACTCCTTTCCATAATTTCATAATTAATGGCATTACTTTCAATTCAAATAGTTGCTCAGGAGAGAAATCTGAGTGTCATTGTCAAATAGATTTTCTTTTCTCATGACCCATATCTAAGAGCTAAGTAAATGACTCTAAATCTTTTCTGAAATAAAAAATCAAATTATCTTTCCCCTCATTCATGTAAATCTTTCATTTCCATTATTCTTGGGAATAAGCCCCAACTATCAGGAATACAAGAGAAGGTCCTTATACACTCTAGTCTTATCCTACCTGAGCCACCTCACCCATTCATTCACCAAACATTCCTTACTTGTCAATGCTCTACCAGGCTCTGAGCTTCAAAGATGAATAAGAGCACAACCCTCTAGGAGGTCATCGTTTACTGGGAAAGATAGAAAACACTGGAAAATGAATACACTGAAGAGATGGATTAGTGAAGAAAAAGGCAGTGTGTTGAGATCAGAATTGTGTAGGTGGTATCAAAAGAAAAACTGGTTGTTCTGGTTACCTAGTGCCGCTCTGACAAGAATATACCACAAATGGGATGGCCTTAACAAACAGGAGTTTATTCTTACAATTTGGAGGCTTTAAGTCCCCAAGTTCAAAGTTTTGCCTCTTTATAGCTCTAGGGGCTGGGTGAAAGCACCTCAACCTTGGGGTCCAGCTCTGCCTCCTGCTCCCTGACCACTGGAGCTAGAGGAATTTCTTCACTCAGACAGCTGCTGAGGTTGAGAAGCCCCAAGGTTGACAAGTAAAAAGGCACAGTCCTGATGTTACCAAACCACACGGCAGTCCATTAACTTAAATCCTTTGTAAGTCCCAAGGTTGGCAGAGCATAGCAGGCTACTGAGCAGTGACACAGCAACATGCAGGGTCCAAGCATGCCATAGGCTAGAGACCATTCTCAAAGCTTCTCCTTTATATACAGGAAGCAAATCACATCCCAAAGGCAGCTACTCAGCTGCTTGTGGTAGTTCCCACCATTGAGTTGTTTACCAGTCTCATCATGGGGAATAACTACCCCCAGTTGCCCAGCCACTCAACCAGGCCCAGCCAAGTTGACATACACACAACCAATGCAATTCCACCCCTTGTCAACTTGGCACCTGTACAGATCTTCAATGGGTGGTATCTGTACAGGTCTCCTCCACTGGGTGACTCCAGTCCCCTAGTTCATGAGTGATGGCCTCACCCCCTTGGCATGGCAGGCCCGTTCCTCTCCCTCTTGGGCATGGCAGCCCCACCCCTTCACTCTTGGGCAGCAGCTATGCCTCCATCCCACTGGCTCACATGAATGGGCAGCCCCAACACTCCAGAACCAAGTTGGTGAAAGCCTGGCTCTTTAAAACCTAGGGTGCTGTAGTGGTTCCACCCCCAAAGGCCATGGTCCTACCCTTTCATGATGAGGCAGCTCTGCTTCCATCTCCTTGGTCTCTCTGCTTCTGCCAATAAATGCCGAAGGCAACACACTCCACAGGAAATCTTCCTGCCCTAAAAACACTCAGCTTTGTTGCTCTATTGGCCAGCCAACCTGCTACTCCATTTTATCCCTGTCTTCTCTACCAATTAACGCCTGAAGGCAGCCCACTCCGCCAGGAAGCCGCCTTCCCAGTGGCACCTGGCTCTCTCCTCCATGGGCTGGTATGCCTATTGTGTTTAATGCCAGTCTCTGGTCTCTGCTCCTGCCATCTCTCATGCCGGTATTGGCTCTGCTCCTGCCGTCTCTCATGCCGTATGCCGTGGTCTCTCTGCCAGGGTCTCGGGTCACAGATGCACTCCACTCCTGTTTCCACCTTTTAGGTATCTGTCAGAGCAGTTCCCCAGTCTCTCATTACCAGTACCAGTCTGAGAAGAATATACCACAAATGGGATGGCCTTAACAAATAGGAGTTCAAAGTTTTGCCTTTTTATACCTCTAGGGGCTGGGTGAAAGCCCCTCAACCTTGGGATCCAGCTGTGCCTCCTGCTCCAGGTCCACTGGAGCTAGAGGCATTTCTTCACTCAGACAGCTGCTGGCTGCTGAAGCTGAGAAGAAGCCCCAAGGTTGACAAGTAAAAAGGCACAGTCCCGATGTTACCAAATCACATGGCAGGCCATTAACTTAAGTCCATTGTAAGTCCCAAGGTTGGCGGAGCATAGCAGGCTGCTGAGCAATGACACGGCTACATTCAAGGTCCAAGCATGCCATCCATAGGCTAGAGACCATTCCCAAGGCTTCTCCTTACATACTGGAAGCAGACCACATCCCAAAGGCAGCTACTCAGCTGCTTGTGGTAGAGCCCACCATGGAGATGATTGCCAGGCTCTTAATGGGGAATAACTACCACCAGCTGCCCAGCCACTCAACAAGGCCCTTCCAAGTTGACATACAAACATAATCACCATACTGGTAAAGAAAGATTTAGTCAGGTGCCTTAAAAATGACCAAGAGAATGAGAATTCCTGTGATTTTGACTTCCATAAGTGCACATTCTCTCTACTGTGAGCTCAGGCTAGGGAGTTGGACCAGGTCTGCCAAGACTTTAGTAGGAAGGGCAGCTTTGAAGATGATAGGTTTTTCCATTCTTTTTCTAATATTTCTAAAGTGCCTCTGGTTTAATATAGGCTTATGACTTTGACTTTGGGATGTGTTATATATGCATGTCCAAAATAAGCCCTGGTAACATAGTGGTTGAGGTGCTCAGCTAAAACCAAACGGTTGGCTTTTAGAACTCACCAGCCACTCTGTGGAGAAAGATGTGGTGTGTAAAGATTTACAACCTTGGAAACCCTATGAGGCAGTTCTACTCTGTCTTGTAGGACCCACTTGATGCCAGTTGTTTTGGTTTTGGTATGTCAAAAAAAATAATTTTTTCTCCCTTTACCTTTGCCTTCTTAGAGTCTGAAGTAATATTATAAAAGAATTGTGCTGATCTGATCTTTGAGGATATAAATTCAAATTTAATTTGCATAAATTTGTATTTTGTGGTGTTTAAAGATTTTCTGGCTTTGTTTTCTTTCAGCATACTTCTTGATGAAGAAGGTCACATCAAGTTAACAGGTAAAAATTCTCATTTCATTGAAATATCTTTCTGACCCATTGTGTTTAAATTGTGGCTTAGAGTTGTTTTTTTTTTTTTTTTAATTGTGTTAATACTGAAGTTCAGCATTTAAAATTGACACATGCAAATTATTGTAGGATTTTTTTATCAAGTTTAATCAATTCATTATTTACTTTGGAAGATTTTGGCCTGAGCAAAGAGTCTATTGACCATGAGAAGAAGGCATATTCTTTTTGTGGCACTGTGGAATACATGGCTCCAGAAGTAGTCAACCGTCGCGGTCACACACAGAGTGCTGATTGGTGGTCTTTTGGTGTGCTGATGGTAAGCTTTTGTCTTTGTTTTGTTTTTTAAATGAGAACCACTAGTGAATGTTATGAGAGAAACTGGTATTTTTATTTTCTATAGGAGCTCTGGTAGCATAGTGGCTAAGACACTTGCCTGCTAACCAGACGGCTGGCGGTTCAAACCCACCAGCCACTCC